GGTAACAGTACATTGAAAGTAACCTTACACTCTTAATGTAAAAAAAAAAAAAAAAAAAAAAAGAAAATAAGTCTCGAGAACAATTATCGAGAATTTTACACCGAAACGTATTCGCATTCTACTTGTTTCACTTTACCACAGTTTCATCGTCCTCGAGAAAATCAATGTTCCGCGACTCCCTACGAAATATTGCACGCAAGATCCCTGCGATCTTCGACCCATGCGATCTAAAAGATCCGATATGTATGTACGATAAATATTATGTATAAATGAATGGAATGTCAGATGCGTAAGTAAATGTAGAGCTCAAGTCCCATAAGATATTCTTGAAACCAATGTTGTTCTCGTCTATATTTATCCTTGTCTACGATCCTCAATATGTATGTAAAATCCCCCTTACGAAGCGTTGCACAAGTGGCAAGTCTCGTGATCCTCGTCACCCGCTCACATCGTCGAAATTAAATTTAAAATTATATTTAAAGTGTTCTATAATGAGTGTGCTTTTATCATAGTCAATCGGAAAGATATTTTTTCGGAAGTGTCTTGCACAAGCGGCTTGTGACTTCCGCCATGTGCAAGACCCCGATAACTAAACGATACACCTCCATATTTTTTAGGGATATCCTTCATTTTCTCACTTTCGTTCAATTTTCCTTTTAAGATTACGCTTGTTGGAGGTTGTTCGAGGATATCTGTATTACGATTAATTCAATTGCTTGTTTGAATGTTCTCGCCTGATGTGCAGTAAATAATAACAAGTCCCCGATAACAAGCATCGCGATAAATCCGAAACCGCAATATCTGAGAAAATACGCACGGTGTAGTCTGCGCGGAAAAATGGACGCTTTTTGCACGGCTCCGCTTCCTGGAACCAGTGTTTCGCGCGAAACGTGAGTAATATCGAGAATGACGGTGCGAAGTCGTAATTTTTCCACGCGTCTACACGAACACGTGTCTCTCGGGTTCATCGCGTGCAAGTCTTGTAACACGTACGACGCGTGGTGAGTTTGCACTTTATCCGTAATTTTCCTGGTTCGCTTCTCTTGTCACCAGCCGAGAGATACTCGGTGAGCCTTGGGCCACGACAGGTGATCTTCAGGGCATCATTTTGCGGGGTGACAACCATTTCTTCATGTAGTAACAGAAGATCGTGGAAATGTAGATAAGGACAAGCAGGGCACACGTCACGCCCAGAATTAACACCGAGGTCTTTGTTGGACAGGGCTCCACAATGGTCACCGTTTTGTCTGGGGAATAAAATTGCAATAATTTCCTTTTCTCTTTTGTTGCTCGTGATATATATAAATAATGAGCTGTGGGTAATTGGGAACGAGTTCATGTAATTACCGGCTTCGTTGAAGTCTATGCTGGCGTCACTCTTCAAAAAGTCGGACTGTTTCTCGTCACCAAAATCGAGAACAAGGATTTCCTGAGACAACGTCATATCCTCTGCCTTTTCCTCCGTCGCGTTCGCCAGACTTCTTCGACGCCTCTTGCCCCACGACTCTACCGATTCTCGTCCCCATTCGCAGACAGCCTGTGATCACAATCACGTTTTCTTATTTTTCATCGACGAAGTATAGAATGATTGATCTGGAATTTTGTTCAATTATTACCGGTTCGCACGGTCCTAGACAATACTTGACGTTACATTGGAAAATAACACCGTAAGACTCGGTGAATCTAAATGCTTCGTAGACGGATTGAAGCGCGTTTCCATCAGGCGTGAAGCTTGGGAAGATGGAGGGATCCACTGGACATCTGAAGATTCGAAAATTCAAAATTTAACCAGACATACCGATTCCATCGTTACCAATAATATTTAAGAGATACACGAATTCCCAACCCTTCATCATCAATGATCTGGAAGGTGCTCTTCGAGTCCTTTGCCATGGCGACGCAACTTCGAGCAAAGATTCCATAGGGAGCTACGAAATGAAGAAATGATTAAGATCACGAAGATATGTATCTCGATATTAAACAGACACTTACTGTCTTCCGGGATTTCGATTCTGAACGTCAGCTTGTCTCCGATACGGACAGTCTCAACTTCTCTGGATCTGCTGTCGAGAATGCGTATCCTTGGTGGAGGGGCTTCCGGCGCGCTGGTGATGCTGATCATTTCCGGATCCCTGATAGGCATCATACCAAAAGTGATGTTCTTCGAGGACATGTCGTACGTGCACTTCACCTTGTAAATTTTGTCGGCCTTGGTCATCACCACGGAATGATGCTGGAGAACGACCGTGTTCGAGTAGATGCCAGTCTGAAAACCGTCACGCTGCCGTGGTGAACAGAGAGTTTGAACAGGATTTAACGATTCGGGCGGATAAATTTGGCCGGAATGCGAGCGCATGACGTTGCAATCACTTACCACACTTTGAGTGTTACAATCCTGCCCGCTCATGGTCAAGTCGAGCCTGAAGAGATCGCTGTTGATCACGTCGATGTTGCAAGTCTCGGAGCGGCCAAGGGCGTAAATGCGACCATTAAAAGGTTTATTCGTGCGAACTTGAACGGCTATTCGGGTGTCTTTACAATCGACCGATACTGCAATTATATTTTACGATTCTTTAATGGCAAGATTTCAGTAATGAGAACGGTAGTCTTCGTTCTTTTAAATTATTCGTTTATTGATCAGTTAATGGGGAAGGATAAATGTACGTACCGTCGTAGCAGGTACCAGTTTTATCGCAATTTATGTCGTTTCTCGTGAGATTATTTATGGTAGGGTCTTCCGTGGTTTCGAAAACAACTGGTGGATCCGCAACTGGGCCTGTACCTTCTGAAAATCGAATTCGATACGTCAGATAGCACGTACATAATATCTGTTTTATTTAAATGAGATGTCTTTTGAGAAAAGAATGTTATGAAAAATATAGTACGAATAATAGAGTTTCTTTTGTATACCTTATATCTGCTAAACTAATGATTTTTCATTTACAAATAGTTAATATTATATTTTTATAAGAAACTAAGCTGTATTAGATATTAATTCCATTTAAAAAAAGGAAGATCATTTTTATATCTTCTAGAATTGTATTTCTTACATAGAACAATTGTTATAGAAACACTTTTTCCATAAGATTATTTCTCAAAAGGGGGAATAAAATTTGAGAGATCCGCCCTCACTTTCACAATAGTTCTCGAAATATGTTCCAACTCTCTCTCCATTATCAATCAATGGTCGTTCTGCATTGAGATATGTTGAAGGGCCATCGGGAAGAGTCCAATGATCAAGATGGAACAGCTGGCAATTATAAGCCGATCCTTGAGGAGCGCCACGATACAGGAAAGATCTGCAGAGGAACTCGTTCTCGATGTCGCAAGCGAGTCTACACGCGGATTCGCTTTGAACTTGCAATTCTTTGTCCGTGTAATAATGTAATCCCGCGTATTGAGCAACTTTATCGTCGGCCACCCCGATCCTTGGCATCTGGAAGATCCTCTGGGATTTGCATGCCTCTTTTCCTGAAAATTTCGTTTTCTTAAGTGAACTTTCGTGTTTATTTATTCACACACACTCCTCCATTCCAAGTCTTAGAACATTTCATTTCTCGATCGAATTTTGTAAATTTTGTAAATAATTTTGCACGCATAATGGAACGAGCACTAGTTTTCTTCTAGTTCTAGTCCATTTCTTCTGAAGAATACGTCACATCATTATTAAATTAGATAAAGATACGTAACGTGATCAGATTCAAAACCAAATGTCACACGACATGCTCTTGAGCAGTGATAGTAGGGAATAATACAACGTCATGCAGGAGAAAAATTGAATCAATTTTGGTAGAAGGAAATGCTTATCCAGCAAAAAAGTTTTTAAAAATCTGATAGGTTGAAGTTGTAACATATATTATATAAACGAGGAAAATTATGCACGTTTATATACGTATAATTAAAAATTTAATGCAATCCGATATTAAATCGCAATATTCTTAATTCACGTATCAAAAATTACAAATACAATTAAAATTTACGATTTACGATGAAATACTCAGAGAGAAATAACAATCATCCCAAGACTTCTCAGAAAGAACATCTTCATCCACCCATATACTCGCGTCTTCTATATTTTACCTTTCAAACAGAGATTTTCGAAATAATCGACGCCCTGGGCGTCCACGAATTGCACGTATTGGCCGGTCGTTCTTCGATCGGAATCGCTCAGGTGACACTGCAAAGTCACGTAATTATATTCGACGGAGCGACAGGTGAAACGGTGTTCGTTCAAACAGGCCGCGAGGCAAGCCTCCTTCGTCGAGGTGTAGATCAAGGCGTTGTCCAGTCCACGGATCATTTTGTTCGGCACTCGTTCGAAGGACCACGGCCGAAGGCAGACGTTTTCTGGAAAATTTGATTTTTTAATCATAATCGAGACGAGATTGGAAGAAGGATAACTCGTCTCGTATTTTACGATGCGTGAAATGTTTTTGTTTATAGAGTGGAAGAACACGTGGGTGTATCCGCCTGACCGCGGCGACGTTTGCACACCTGACGAAGCACATGCAGACAGCAGGGAGTATTTTCTTACGTAACGCTCTCAAATATGCCACATGAGCCTCATCATATACCGACACCTGTAGCCACGCGAGAGAGAGAGAGAGAGAGAGAGAATTAAATACATCTAGTTATTCTAATTTCGTATGTTTCATATGTGTTTATGAGTTATTTTTATTCGCCTGACTAAACGAGCCAGCAGGATAGACAGTGATTGGAGAGAATAGAGAGAAACGATTCTCTAAAATTTTTCATTCTTGTCCTAATACACAGATAGATTTATTCATTTGGTTGAATAAAAATTTTCGAATCGTTATTAATATGCGTAGAATTTATCGAAAATTTATCGTCCCGCTTTTTGATCTCTTTTTCTTTAAAAATATTATTTTATTATTATTATTATTATTACATTAAGACTTTAGAAATATATCGATAAAAGTTTCGTCGTCGACGCTTATTTATAGCATGCATTATATAATACGTAAAAACATAAAATAAAATAAAATAAATAACAAAATTACATTTCCAACTCGTCAATGTGAAAAAAATCATCATCCGAAAATAATTTAGGTGTCGTTTTAAAAAAGGTCAAGGTCGTCTCAAAGTCAAAAACGATAGTTCCATTTGCACGTAAACGTCGTAATGCACGAGTGCGTGAAAAAAAAAAAAAAAGAAGAAAAAAAACGCGAGAGGAATGCGTTTCCACGGAAAGGAATGGATCGAGGAACAGTTAAGCTATATCCGTTCGATCCGAGGAAGTGTGGCGAATTTCTCGGTTGGCCGATCACGCGAGCGTGACGGCTGCGAGACGGGCACGGGTTGAGGCTTGCTAGCCGATGATCACGACGAGAATCACGGGTCGGGATCACATGTGACTTGGCAGAACCCGACTTTCGGCCAAGAAGAACGCGGCGGACATCGCGCCAAACACCGCTCCAATTCCTTTTGTTCCGCCCTCGAAAGCGGCGCTAATGTCGACGGCTATCGTGCCAACGAACCGACGCGTGACTCCTGATGATTCACCCGCGACCAGGCCATTTATTCCTGATCGAATATAATCGATTTTAATTCCTTTTTTTTTTTTTTTAGGAAAGAATTATAACACCAGCTGTTCATTCGGCAGAAGCAATTGAAATTGATTAGTTTTTCCGCATTTCTTAAATATGTTCACTAATATTTTTGTCTTGTTAATCAATTTGGACATTAAAAGCTTTACAATTAGCTAGATAAAAGAGTTAACCGGTTAATTCGATAATTATTCGTAATTACGATAGGATATTTTGTGTTTATACGTTCTGGAATTTAGATACGTTATCTAAATGGATATATTAGGCAGGTACTATTAATTGTTTATCAGTTTGAAAATCGCCAATATGATAAAATGTTATCATAATGTGTAAAGGAATAGGAGAACTAAAAGATAAGAAAAGAAGAAAAGCCACAGCAACAGAGAATGGAATTCTCTGCAATTTTATACTCTATTTTTATCATTCCTCGTTAAACAAATAAGGCAAAAGAAAATTTCCAAAATTGGAAAGATATTACAAACGCATGAAATGAAATTCCAAACGGAATACCGCGGTTGGAATTTTTTAAAAATACCGCTCAACCGTTTCTCTCTTAACTCTATTTTCGTGCATATCCTCGGCGAGCGAGGCAGAGAGACCCGCGACTTTCCCCTGGAAATATTTTGGAAACGCGCGATGAACCGGCGTTCAACGCTGCTTGAATCTCTGCGTGATTCCTGGCGTTAAAATTAATCGTCGCCGCTCGTCTGTTTTTCTCAATTTTCTCAAATTGAACACGGTTGCGTAAAATTTCGCACGAGCCAGATGATGACGCGCCGAGTCGTATCCATCGATCGACCGCGCCTGTGCAAATTCTTAACGCGTCGAGGCCTCGATGACGGGGGTCTGTTTCGTCTGTTCCCGGTTATTTTAAGAGAGGAAGGATTATTTCGAACGGAAGTGCCAGCTTCGTCGCTTTCGTCGTTTTTGAGTCATTAAAAAAAATTCATTTTAAGCTAGATGCATATAAAATTGTTTTTCTTTGCAATGAGACTGATTTCAATCTTGCCTCGAATAAAAGTCAACATAGGATTGAAATATTTATCGACTCAAAGGCGATAATTTTACGAACAAATTTCGAGGCACACAAACGCAAATGCGTTTCTCTTTCCTTTCGAAGTCTTAAGTCTGCTTCCTTCGCCTATTCAAAGAAGCAATTAGCACGACACGATTCGATAATATAAGATCTTCAACGGAAGATATTAACGAATTAAAACTTGAATAAAAGTATCGATATCCTTGTGTCCATTATCCCTGTCTACTCGAAATCGAACAAATTACAATATTGTGCCAGCCTCGATCAATCGTCCGATAATGGAAAGCTATCTAATCGCTCTTTTCGAGGAAACGGAAACCTTTCTCGAAACCTTTTTTCCTTTTGTCCCTCGAGGCATAACCTGTGCGCCCTATGAATGCCCCCCCCCCTCCCCTCCATTCCGAAAGTGTCCAGGTACTCGTCACAGAGTGTTTTACGACCGTGGCGAGATAGTTGGAAGGATGGAAGGTACCAGCAGGCTCGTTAAACCAATATTAGGAGTTTCTTAGACCCCCTTGGGATCTTTTCGACACCTTGGGCTGCAGGTACCTGTTTACAAGGGAGACCGTACTTAAAGCATCCTTCACACCACCACACGAGAAAAGTACCAGTCGATCTCCCATTGTTTGCCACCATCCCCCCTTCTTTGGCAAATCGTTCTTGCCGCTCGCACCAACCTTTGGATGCGCCTTTTGTATTAAGTATAGTGTAGGGGCTCCGGCAGCTTCTCTCCTCACTCGAACTCGATTCAATGGCGCGCTTTAAATATTTAGAAAATTTTGAATATTCGTTCTTCTTTTTACCCTTACCCGATTTCGAGTTACTTTGAACTTTTCAGATATATAAATTACAAAGACTCCGAGGCGGAGTCTTCTACTCGGGAAGAAGAAAAGTTAATACATTGCTTTTGTTCTTCAATTTCCTTTTGGAAATTTCGTATATTTTCGAAAAGAAAATTATTCTTTCTGGCAATACTTGATAAATAGGAATGTAAAATGGTTTTTGAGTATACCGTTTTAAGACTTATTTAATTATTTGATATATGTATATATATATATAAATCTTCGAAAGTAGTTATTAATTATTCTAGTTATAAATATTCTCCACTAAATTTAGCGTAATCACAAAGATATTTTAAATCTTTTAACCAGCCAAGATTCAAAATCGTTTCTATTCATCGAGTACTACCAGTGTGAACACACACACGCAAAATTTAGAAAAAAGTAACGCGTTTTTAGAAAACATTTCACCATTGTTTTGCAACGCGTTACATTCAATTTCAATACAAGCAACTATCCACTCGAGGCAACAACTACCGGCTTCCAGGTTTATTTGCACATCTACCTGCCCTCAAACGACTTCGCCACCAGCTTTTAAACCCGGATTATCGCGTCTCGCCTCTCCCCTCTCGCCCTTCCTTTCCCTCGCCGACACTTATATCGCGGGATTTTTCTTCGGCCTCGTCCTCCTCTTGTCCCCTTTGTTCCTTTGCCGGCCACCTCTCGAAATGGTTTACCGCCCGGTAAAAGGGAAGAAACCAGCCAAGGGGGGTGTGCTGTATTACCATTCATTAACCGAGTCGTGCTGGTGGCTCGATTATGTCGAAGGGTTTAAAGCCTCTCAAGGTCGTCGAATCTCTCTCTCTCTCCCTCCTCGCAGGTGTAAGCCGCGTCACGATTCCGAGCATTCACCGACCGATCGATCGATCTACAAAGTTTTCGAACGTTGAGTAAAGCCGAGGCTCGGCTCACCTGATCTGATCTGAAGCTTCGTCATGTAGTACATGTTGGCGGCCCTTTGCGGCTGTGCCGCGGGATTCGTCGCCGCTGTCTCGTTCTGCAGCTGGCACAGGGTGTCCTGCATCGGCGCCAAAGGATTTACGACGAACGAGAACGCAGCCGCCTGACACTCGGCCTCCTCGCGGCACCAGCCCTGACACTCGTACAGGGACAGGTTCCTCACGCTGTAGTACGTCGTTCCGCGGTAATCGTAGTCCGTCAGCTTCTCGAACGCTGTCCTGGCTGTGGAAAGCGGTTCCATTTGAAGGAAGAGAGGAAAAGAAAGAAAGGAAGAGTGCGTTTACAAACGCGTCTCGAAACGTGTTTTCGATACACTTACCCAGGGCAGCACGAGAGGCGGTGACGAGAGCCAACAATGTGAGACCGGTGATCACTGTCGTTCCTATCGCGGACGAGCCCATCTGGAACGAAAGGAAATGGATAAAAGAAAGGATTTTTTTTACAAAATTATCTTTACTCTTCGTTTATCTACGAGAGATTATAAATATTAATTTAATTAAGATTTTTAATAGGTGTGATTTTCATTTTTTCGATAAAAGTATTATAAAGTATTATTATGTGATAAAGCAGTTAATTGAAACGGTAAATGAATAGATAGAAACGGCATGGAATCTTTTGAAAATTAGGAAATTTAAGGAAAGTTGGTGAATATATTATGACGAGTAAATCGAATTTTCGCGGTTTTTAGTTTCACGCGCCTCTGTTAGTAAAACAGGAATCTAACCAATATTGGAATTTTCGTGTTTTACCTTTTGGGCAATTAATCCTAACTCATTAAAGAGTAATTATTTTTTAAAAATTTTTCAACATAATATTAATAAAATGTAATTAATTTTTATAAGGTTGAAATTTACCGTTTTAAAAAAACTTGTAAGTGATCGATCAATAATCCACGGATAATCATTTATAAAAAAAAAATTGCTTATTAAAGGATAATCAGTGAGAACGAGAAATCGAGAATGTTATTTCGAAAAAACAAACGACAGATTTACGAGACGATCGCTCGTTACAAATCAAAACTAGTTCCCAATCGGTCGTTCGAGCAATTAACCCGTTATCGTGTGCTCGTTTCGTCCCACGATCTTCCGCGATCGAACATCCCTTACACCCGCGAAACTCGACGGTATAAATTAAAGGGACAACTCGTTTTACAACGTTTGTATGTACGTAAATCAATCCCCCGTGGAATAAATCGTTCCAACTCGATAAACGCTCGCCGACCGGGGCCCTCCCTCCCTCCTTTCATAAAAGCGTTAAAAGATCCACAAGCTCTCGTCGAGGAAGTCGTTCGAGATTAGCGGCGCGGTCGAGTAATTCGCCCGTGCAACCTGGAAGCACGCAAGTCACCGGCTTCCCGTCCACCTTTTGCTCGTGTTTCACCAACCGGCTACTTCCTGGATTTCTTCTTTCCCTCGCTTCTTGCTCCCTCTCTCTCTCTCTTTATTTTCTTCTCCATCCACCCAGCTTCTTTCCACGTCTCGCCGCGGTCTCATCCTCTCTCTTTCTCTCTCATCCAGCATAGGCCCCTATCCCTCGTTTTTACTCGTGAGCCGATTGAGCGATCCAAGCGATGCTTACAGCAGACTCTGCCGTGTAAGGCTCGCTATTTCGCAGGTTCGTTCTTCCTCCACGGTCGATCATCTTTTGCTTGATCCGAAGCTCGTAAATCCTCGAGACCTGGTCATTATCTCGGCCGGATTCATTTTTTTTTTTCGTTCTCCGGATTCTAATTCCAAAATCGATCGTCTCGTTCTATTCGTGGCGGATCCTCTCAACCTGCTCGGTTCGTTCACCTGTGGTTCAGGTCGTCGTGGTTATCTCGCGCGTTCAGAAGCTCGACGCTTTGATTACACGCGTTTCTCATTCGCGTTGTGTCATCGTGGCTAAAATCCAAATGGATTGCGTTGTGCAGTGCCTCGAGAGACTTGCACGCCTTCGGGGTAATCGCGGGTAACAGCGAGTAAATGATGGAGAGAGAGAGAGAGAGAGAGAGAGATTGGCCGAGCTGAAATGAACGTAATGCGATAACGGCGCGTTAGAGACCTCCCGAAGGATGCGGTTCTACTAGGCTTCGGTTCGAGGTCACCGAGACTGGAATAGCAGAGAGGACCGTGTTACGGAGGAGGAGGAGGAGGAGAGCTTTGTCGTGGCTTGCACTGGAGGTCAAAGGTTCAACCTGGACCCCCGCCTCTCTTGTTTCTTTCTTGTCTCTTTCTCCTCGTGGACTCGACGACGACGAGAAGCCATCGATTCGAATCTCTCCGTCGTATTTTATCGACGATTATCAGCTTTCTTGAGACGAGTCGCGATTAGAATTCGTTGATACGTGGAGGGTACGTTAATTATATAACGGGAAGTCGGTAAAATAGTTCTTTCATTTTAACGATTATCCTTCGGTTACTGTCGATTGGTATCTCAGTTCGAGAAAATATGGGAAGATAAGTTATTGGGAATTCTTCTTAAAAGAAAAAAAAAGGAATATATATAGTCGCGGATACTACAGTTTCTTATGTTCCAAAAATAATAAACTCGATGAAAAGCGGTTCGATTTCGAGATCCGGCTTGCGAACTCTCCAACTACTGTACGTATCTATCTATCCACTAGCCAATCACCTGAACATAGTCTAGTCATCTAAGCAGATAACTTCACTCGTAGAAAATTCGACTTCGTCTCTCGACACACTTCACACCGTTCAAACGTATCTCGCGATAAATTCGTGCGCACGCATCCGCTGCTCTAACAGGTAAGAATGCGAGTGTGTTTCACTCGGCGGCGGACGGGTTGATGCACTGTTACGAAGATTAATGTTCGCCTCTCTCTTTCTCTTTCTCTGCGGTCACCGCGAAAGAAAAAGGGGAGAAGAAGCGCGGAGATTTCTTCCGGCGGTTGGTTACCGAGTTACCTGAGAACACCTTTTCTAGGAAACTTGGGTGGTAGTTACGTATCGGAGGGAGGAAGGAGGAAGGAACTTTATCGCGTTCGACACTTCGTATTTCTTTTTAAAGGGGATAGGACACGTTCTGGGTAACGTCACACGTTTTCACCAAACGATCGGGATATTCCTAGACGCGTGGTCACGTTCCGGCACCGTATCTCTTCGATTTCCTCTCGAAAGTGATTTGGGTTCAAGTTCGATTTGTAATTCGTGAGAATTTCTTTTGGAGAATCTTTTTCCGATTTTTTTTTTCTTTTCAATCGAATTTGTTTTTGTTTCTTCTTTTTCCCCGTACGATTAAGAGTAGAATTTAAATCGATCGGTTATATACACTTTCTTACGATTATTTGAAATAGACGAGTATTAATTTTGTGTATCTGATTATTTTCGTAATTTAACTTTAGTCATTTGTATATAAGATTTAAATAATAAATACTAAATAAATACTACTACTGTCTACCATTAACACTAATTTTATCGTTATACGATTACTTCCACTTACGGACATTCTCGAAAATTTTACTCTCAAATATATCTCCGTAAGAAACCGGAATTATTTTATCTCGACCTTCATCCGTAACGCACGCACGTACGTGCTTGTTTCTTTCGTAAGACGAAAGAAAGCTAAGAAGTGGAAGAACGTTTGAAAACAGACGTGCAAAATTCTCGTTGCTTGCGCATTGTCCTAACTCGTTCCACCCGCAGGAAAAATTGTTTCGCGCGGATCCCCTTGTGATCTTTACGTCACAACCGGTCCCTCCACGATACAGAAACCTGGCAGACGAGTTCTCGAGAGATGTTGCACGTTCTTTTCAACGTTCTGCCTTCTATAAAGTCTGGCTTCCGGTATTCCATTCCGCGAAACACGCCGCTTCCGGACCCCTCGTTCTCAGCCCTCCGGTTTTTTTTACGAAGGATATCGTTTTTTAATAAACACGATCTCTCAGGCAAGTTTCCGCTCGCTGGATACTTCGTCGTTTCCACGATGGAGGATCAACTGCTAAGCGTCACTCGTTTTTTTTTTTTTTTTTTTGGGAGAAAAACGAGATTTAATGAAATAACTTTTCAGAGAGTTTTAAGAATTATAAAGTAAAGTGATTAAGTGAATTTTTCGTTGTATTAAGTTATATTCGAAACGTTTCAAATTTTTAACGTATTGAATTTATTACTAGTTTATTGTACGGATAATTTTTATTTTCGTTAAATTGTTTGAGTTTCTAAGTTATGGTGAAGTAAATAGACAACGTAAAACTTTTATAAATGGCACACGATTGAGTAAAAGGATCTTTTCCAGTATAACAATATCTAATTGTACAGTGCTCATCTTTAATAGAATCTTTATGAATAATAAAATAATATTTCCTATTAATAGGATGAAATTTATTATGGTGCTTTAGAAATAAGACTTAAATGACTTTTAAGATCGTTCTTATATAATTCTTATAAATATTTCTTTCAATTCACGCGTTAGATCTTTTATTATAATTAAAATCAAACAAATCAAACCAGTCCAATACTTCGACTTCAAATCGAAGTGCCAAAAAAAAGGATCGATACAGATCTCGAAAAGATAACACATTAAACATCCCCTCAATTGTTCCCTGTAACCGATACGACGGAACCCGAGCCGTTTAATTATTCCCCATTTGTGAAAGGAAGAGGATTATCTTCGGCCCTTGGCTCAGCTCGAAATCATCGTTCGTGAATCACGGCTCCACCCGCCGACGAGAGCGGCACGAAATTTCCATTTGTCTTGGCCAGACTCGTGACCGGGCACAATGATCTCGTAACAAATGCACTCGGGGCGGAGGCGTTCCTCCTCCATCGTTGGGTCGTCGACTAGATCGCCACGGGCGAATCTACCTCCCCCTCCCCTCCCCTCCTCTCCCCTCCCCCTTATTAACTCGTTCACCGGCCAAGGAATTAGTTTTAGAGATCTCGAACGGGGGGAGGGGGGAGGGGCCCTCCTCCCTCCTCCCTCCTCCCTCGAAACTCGATCGGAATCGTCGATACTAAAAAGGGGTCGTCTCAGTATGGGGCAACGGAATTAGGTGTATAAAATATTTGATCGTTCCTGCGATATATTTATTGAAACGAGTTAATTTGTGGATCGAAAAAATTGTTCTTTTTTTTTAAATATGAACGATTTAAATATGAAATTTAATAATTCAACGAACTTTGCAAGAGGTAATTTATTCATCAGAGACAAAATAGGATAGCGAATTTTCAAATTTTCAGATTACTAATAACGAGCGTAATATTTGAAGAATAATCTATTCCGGGCTTCAAAAAAAGGAAGAAAAAAAAAAAAAAAGAAAAACTTTTTCTTCGAGTGGACGAATAATAAATAAGAAGAGAAGCGTATACTTTTTGACAATGTTACGATCGATATTTACTATAATAATAAAATATACTCGAGTTCCATGGAAAGAATCTTTTCGACTCGCGCGAGTTTGATTCCCGTCACTAGCGTTTCCTCTCTAGAGACCCAGAAAAACAGCGCGGGTCCCTCGTATTGCAGAGCGAGGGCAATTAAATGTTAGCTGCCGTTCGTTAAATGAAACGAACGGTGCACGGTGATTATGTTGCATGCATAAGTGACGCGGATCTCCAGCGACGCGTTCTTTCCTCGGTTATTTTTGAAGCCCCGACGAGGATGGTGAACGGTAATGAGCAATGTAATTGCGTCTATGGCCACGATTTTTCTATGTTTAGAATGCGCATTCGTGCTTTGAACATGGTTTAATAATTTCTCCTCTCGCTATTGTAGAGCAATTAATCTTGCAAATGGTTATTAATTAAGTAAGTGGATAGATTGCGTACATTTAAATTTAACTATGGTTTGAATATTCGTTTCTGATCAAAGAATGGGATCAAGATATATAGAGTGTTAATATATTGGTGGAACGTCAAGTTTTGAAAGATGTGGAAAAGTTGAGATTGTTAAGTTGTTTAAACATGTGCCAGATGAAGAATGCGTTCGATCCAATTGCTTGTAACTTGATAAACGTCTTATGTGATTATTTTCCATTTAATTTTTTGAATCTTTGACAAATAATATTCATACTTTTAACCATTTATAACAATCTATTCTTATTCCGATACGATAGCCTGATTTTTTGAAAATAGTTCTTCTAAAGATATTAAAGAATTTATTATACAAACGTAGGAATGAATTAAGGATAATTGATTTTAAATACGATAGTATGATTAGAAAGATTGAAGAATCTCAGATAAAAAATTCATGCTTAAAAGTTTCTAAAATATTTATATACAAAAAGTTTGAATTTCATGAAGTTAGTTGTTTACAAAACATAAATTTAATTAAATACTTCATTATCTACTTATTTAATTTATCCGCCTTATCAATCAATTCCTCGTAATCACTTTTATCTCTTCTGGACTTAACTTCCATCAATATCCACTTATTCCATTTATATCCGCAAAATATTATACCACAGTACATTTCAATGCTTTCAAGATTGTAATGTTTTTTCTATAATGGTAAAATAATTTTTAATTGGTCCCTAACGATTCAAACGAGCAGCTTAACGAGCTCAGCGTGCAATTCTCTTCTTGAAAAATCCTTTAAGATAGATTCATAATGGACGGATATCAGATAATAAACTGTATTTCAATTCAAAGTTAGAAATTTTATAGATTCCAAATCTCTTTGCAGATCATATTTATTCTTTTTTTTTTTCAAATTAAATCCATCCACTTACAAATCAAAGTTATCTTGTTAATTTTTCAAAATAAATAAAATAAATTACAATGTTATTTTTGTTGATTAGACAAAGCACATTTTATCATTTCTTCTTCAATGATGAAGAAGAAGAAGTTTTTTTAAAAATGAAATCCTATATAAAAAAATATTTTGACTGGATATTATTGATCATATCTATTATTTTCACAAATTGTCGTAATTATTATACGAATATGTACACGATAATTATGAAATTACCGCGATTAAGAAAAAAAATCATTATAAATCAAGCTAGGCTTTCTATTAAATAACTTCAACTAATTAATTTTACGTTAACGATAAATTTATATATTGAATTTTATTTTTATAAGGATAAATTGTGCAATTGTGCACTATAATTGGTTCGAATTACGAGTCTAAACCATGTCCAAGGATAAAGACGATCACGGGACATTCCAAGGATAGTTCCGTCACGAAGACACGGGTACATGAATGAGTCGCGTTCCACGTCGTTTTAATTAAATCGGCCGATCCTGGTAAATTGTTAATCATTAGGCGAGATAAGGACGCGGATCACCGGTATTTATTAGAATTGGGTATTTCTCGGCGGCGGTTAATTACAAAGTTACGATCGAGAGCCTCTTGGCCGGGATTATGCCGAGCACTCGCGGCTATTCGTGTGCGCAATTACGCGATGGGATCTTTCGGTTCCGTGAAGAATCAATTACACGAGGTGCAGGTATCCTCGTCCTCGGCACCGAAAATGAACAGCTGTGGAAATCGTTCACGATCGTGAACCGGATGTATTTTTACCTCGTCTATTAAATCGTTTAAGTGTGATAAATAGACGGAATCGCTTGTATACATGGCAAAATCGTTCGTTTGTTTGTAAAAATGACATAACTCAAGAATCACGACTTTAGAGTTTGAATATTTGGAATTTTTATAAGAACAATTAAAAAAAATATCATATTCGAATTCTAAAATGTCATGATTAAAATCATTTCAAAGCAGAAATGAAAACTATTTTATATATATATATATATATACATACGCAGTAATAAAAACTCATATATTATTTTATTTGATGTATAGTACGAATAATTTAATATTTTGTTTTCAAAAATTTTATCAATAAATTGTAAAATCTTAGAAATATCAGTATATCGAGTGTCCTATTCTATTGTATTCATTTCTACAGTAAAATTTCATAAAAGAAAAACTGTACCTGATTCTTAAGAAAAATCGTGCAGATGAGGGAAGACTGGAACGAACATTATTTAATCCAAGATGACTTGATATGGCATAAAATAGAAGAACACGTTGTTTCACGAGGTCTTTGACTCGAAATTGCTCTCGAGCATTCTGTTTCCCATCCTATCTAATCATGGCCGCACGATCAAAAGTGTGTCGATCGACGGTAATCCAACGACCATTATCGACAAATCATACAGATAGTAACGGTACAGAAACGTGGTTCGAGAAAATTGCTCGAATACGAGACAATTTTCCAAGATTTTCGTGTCATCCATTCGTTCTTTCATCGCTGGTTATTCTTGTTCGCACGAACTACTTCACAATCACATTACAATCACGGAACAATTGTTACTTGCAAACAGTTACGAATTAATGAAAATGCACGATGATTTTCACAAAGATCACTCGAATCAATTCAATTGAAGTCAGTTTCAATACGTTACAGTACAGTGATACAGTATAGTACAGTAATATGTAGACACTATTGCTCACCAAAATGTCTCTCATGGAGGTTAAGAACAATACGAACATAGTCCGACATGTTGATTCGCCAATAGAATTAGTGACTATATATATCGATAATTCGATAAATCGATAATATTGTTAACGTATAAAAATAATTAGAATTCCAATATTTTCTTAGTTTTCAAAGTTATTAGAGATATTAGATCTCTAAATTAACGATATTTCATTGAGTTTTCGATATATTTAAAATATTATTGAAATATCGATAATGCGAGGAACGAGCAGCTGAGTGAAGTAAACTGCTTTTAATATTTTAATATTTTATTTTAATAATTTTTCAATAATACGTATTTATTTTTATTATAGGTAATATTTTTACATATTTTAATAATAATATTGAATAAGAAAAAATAATTATTTTTATCTACGATATTTTAACGATATTATCGATATATTTGATACACTATCGATAAAATACCAACATATCGATAGTCTCAATTCTACAATGGCCGGTAGAACGCGTAATAAAAAAGTAACGACAACGTTTTCTCTTCGAAATTTATTTTATCGTTAAAATTGTGGTGTGATTTTTGTCGTCGATTTCAAATAATCGCTAAAAAATAGTGCGTGAGTAATAATAATCGATAATATACGTAATAAAAGACGAATAGCAATGTTTCGTCGAATTCATTTTGGCGCGAAACTTGTGCTGCGTAATTTTTCTCATCGATTTCAAGTGATTGATTGAAAAATTGTGCGCGATTGATATCAAATTGATATTACTGAGTCTAATCATGCAAAAACTGTATAAATAATCACAAAAATGTGATACGTGCGAGTATAATTCGAACGATTTCCAATGGTGGCCAGTTACAAGGCAAAGAAGCCAACGCGAGATAAAATCCGATCCGCACGAAGAGATAATCCCTCGAAGCGTATGATCGCGATCGTGCATCCTGGACAGGCAGCAGGAAGGTCCTGTACAGCTACCGGAACATGCAGATTTATGCTCCTTGGAACGTCACCGCTCCTTAGATTAATGGCCGTCCACGCTTTTTCCGCGTAGTCTTTCACCGTTGTCTGCTTCGCGATGTAACATCCTCTTTGCTAACGAATCCTTCGAACATCCATTCGACCCTTTTCATCTGCGCGTGATTTCAGGTATGTACGATCTTGCATATAACGATCTTGTTTATACGAATTTATTAGTAAATAAGCAGATTCATAAAGGTGATAATAGAAGCCTTTAATGCTTTCCATTAGATTTTTTCTCATCATTTTGATTCGGACAATAGGAAATACATATTCATATATTTAATAGAATTGTACGGCATATTTGATTTTAACCTAACCTAACTTTTGCGGTTATGTCATGGCATACGAGGTAGCTTGCATAATTTGTACGTGTTTTATGCGAGACAATTTTTTTCTATAATGTATAGTTTGGAAAATTACACATATATAATAATATTTAATGTAACGTAATAATAGAAAATTTAAACAATAGAAGTTTACCTATTAATTCAGATAATATTACAAATTAAAAGACGTTCGTAAGTAACTTCATAAAGAATAATTGTCATGATAATCGACGATTGTTCAAATAATAACTCGTCTCAAAGTTCGGATTTCATGATTTAATCAATCATTGCTAAAATTTCATTCATATATCCGTTGTAATTTATTCGTACAAGATAAATAACAAGAGCTTATCTCAATTAAATTAATCATTCTATTAATATTTCACTCGTATAACGGTTACATCTACCATAATTTATTCGCAAAACGTAGGGAATGTATTACATTTACGAATATGTTCACATGTTTGTTTGCTCTCTTCATTAAAAAGTTCGATTCGTTTAAGATATCTTAAAACCTTGATATAATTATAGGTCGGGGTGCGTGAATTAGTAATCTCGTTCGTTGCTTCTATTCCGTGGAAACGTGGATGAGAGAAATGGAATATTTGTTGGGGGATTAAAGAGTGGTAGATTAAAAATCGCGATATTATCGTTTCCGGCGGCTAATTTTGCCCCACCTATCATTTCCGGCAGAGGCAATTGTAATTTGCATATTTTACTTGGCCGACTGATCCAACGATAACTTCGAGATTTAACCACATTTGAAACGATACAAATAAGGATCTCGAATTGAATTAAAGTTTTTCTTTATCTCTAAAAAAATTCTACTCGAATATATCAAGTGCATTGTATCGAAATTTTCAACAATTCCAATTTACAATTTCTAATTTGTATATTCTTATTGCGCGTACATTTCATCACAAATATATAAAAATCTAGAATCTATCCATCATTTCAAACGAATATTTCCAAATGATGAATCCAATTTCAATTTCAAACGAAACTTACTCAGGTGCACAGTATCATCTCTCTCGCTTACAATCTTGAACAGTTCTCTCGAATCGATCACCTTCGAGGAAGGTTCGCATAAACCCACGCGAGTCGCGAGGGATAAATTCATCCTCCTCGAGGAGGACGTGGGTGCGGGTCAAACGGTAAGGGGACGAGCTGCTCGTAAATTGTTACGACTCTGTGTATACTCTTGCGCGGCAACAGGACACTCGGCAGCCATTCCATCGGCCATTTCGCCGCGTATTCAATTCTCCTTGCAACGACTTCGAACTATTTCCACGACTAGCTCCATTCCTGGATCGTAAAGACGTTCGAACCAAGTATTACGAGCCGTGACAGGTCGAGTGTATATACCGAGAAGCAATTGAAAAGGGATGATCGGGGCTTCTAGTATGGAATTCCGATATCGTTATCGGTAATTCGATAATATTTCCCTTATTATTTCTATTATCATTACCAAAAACATTCTTCCTCGAAACAGTTAACGGATGGATTAAGAAAGTCCAAAAATGCAAAGAATTGAATATTCAATTTCTCGTTTTTCTAATAAAAATCATCGTATCCTTTTGCAAATATTCACCATTTTATCCCTCAACCACTATCTATACACATCTATCAAACTATCAATTCAAAATATATCCGAACAACTCGCAAACAACTCCTTCCATTCGCAGAAGGTTATCGCTGCTTGATCCTGGCAACGGTGAACTGTGCACAATCTGATTTACGAGTGCATCTTCCGCGAGTGGTGAACGGTAGCTCGGCGAGTAGATTCATAAATAATGAGAGGAGGTGAAGTGGTGGATAGCCAACCACCGATTTCCTTTCGTAGAATAAGAGATTCATAAACAATGAAGTGCACGTAAATCGGCCACTCAGGCCAGGGAACTCCTCGTCCCCACGAGAGAACGATGATCATGCGTCATTTTTCAACGTGATCGTTCCGCCGATCGTATAAATCCCCGTGGAATCTGGGTCCGTCTTCCGTGAGAAAGGATCTCTCGGTGTTCCACGCTCGCCCCGAGGAACGGATAGATATTCCAGTTCCGATAGGTCCCTCGTAAACGAACTATCTAGGAATTAATGAACCGTGAGCTCTTCACCCTGCTCTTCGTGTATCGTTCTTGGAATATCTAAGCGGATGGGACGAGAACGTTAGCCACAAAGGATCGTTTCGCGTAATGTCGTGGTGGTGTCGAAACGAAGGTGTTCGAAAAATCTCGAACGAACGTTGCGATTGTTCGAGCTTGTTCCAACCGATGGAAAAGTTCCGCTTTCAACAAGACTCAACTCGTTGTTCCGGCATATATGTTAATTCGAAGAACATCGTGAAACATCGTTTTCAAATATTCAAGAATATCCATTTCCATAACATTAATATAACGTATATAACAATTCAAAATCGACAATTCAAATTGCAAATTTTCGAATAAAAAAAGATCTATCCAAAGTTTCAATAATCTTCTCTCCAAGCGATCGAAACTTCTTCCCTTTCAATCCGATCTCTCGTTACGCGTCGCCAGCCAGTTTTCGCCCAGTCATCGAGCGTGGCTCCATCAGGAGCGCTTCCCTTCGCCCCATTGTCGCGACACCCGACGAAAAAATGGCACAAGGGTCGTTGATAACGATCGATCCGGCCAGGGTACAACGCAACCTTGGCTGGAACCGATCTCGATAAATCTTGAAAGTAATTAGCGGCTGCTGCCTTCGTGGCTGTCTTCATGGCCGTTTCGAGGCGCGCGCGCGATATAAGAAGGGGGAACGAATGTGAGCGGGGGAGGGGAGGGGAGGGGGGGGGGAGGAGGGAATGGAACGAAGTAAGAAATATGATTACACCTTCTTCTTGCGCCGGCTAGAGATGCGAGAGGGCAACGACCCTCTACGTTGTTGGAGGAGAAGAAGCCCTTCTTCGGCCTCCCTTCTTGCGCGTTCTATCGTGGAATAATAATCGAAGGGGGCAGCGCGACCACGACCTCTCCTTTTCCTTCTTCTTCTTCGATCCACGCCTTGAAATTCACTCGAGGAATTTTGTCCCTATCTCTAAAGTAAGTTCTCTCTCTCTTTTTTTTTTTCTCGATGTTGTTTTGATTCGTTTTATAATTTTGGCAACGATGGTTTTTTTGAGAATTGAGAAACACTGAGATGGAGAGGAACGAGGATGAGAACTCTATTTCAGCTTGTCAGCTCCTTTTCACGCTCGTCCACGTCAACGTAATCCGCGGAGACGCGTTCTGGCCTTCAGGCTTTTCGTTTTTCATGCAAATTTAATCATCGGTCGCACCGGGTCAGGCACTCGGGTCATTCACGGAAGCGTCACGTAACATTTCAATCGACTCGATCGACCCATGCGAACAAGATTATCGATTATTCCTCTTCTTTGAATTGAATTGACGAAAGATTGGTCTAATACGATGTACAATAAAACAATAAGTTTCTCAAAAAGAAACTTATTTTTTTCAATCGAGTCGGCGTAAATTCGACGTGAATAAGTTGGGTTATTTAAGTTGTTCGGGTAGTGGAGTAGCCGAGAAGAGACATTATTTTCCGTTTCGAGGGCAGTGCAAATTGGTAGGTGTCGTTTTTCGAAGAAAAGTAGCGGACACTCGATTCCGTTTAGGTATTCCTTCTCTTCCACCGGATTACAGTGTTCGGAGAACGAGTGGAGAACGAATGGGGAATGGTTGTTCACGCGTAAATAATAGCCGCTTGCACAAAACACCCTTATCGACACAGCGAATCGAAATGGCGCGTCGCGTGACTTTACCGTCCGAGCTCGATTGGAATTCCGGGGAATACCGGGAATCCGTTGAATTTCCAACGAACAAATCGCGCTACCAACCATTTGTTGGTCGTGTCGATGGAAGTGTTTCGAGCGTTTTTTAAAACACGGCTGATTCGAAAGGCTAGAGAAGAGGTGGAGCGACGATTTTCAGATTTAAATTTCGACGAAAAAATGTCGACATCACACAATTAGATATTATTGACAATGGTTAAGAGAGAAATTGATCGTTGAGCAAATTTTGTTTACCTTTACTCGTCTTTAGCACATTCGAAAAGAGTTATTGCTTGTTAATAAACGATTAGCTCGCTCCTTAACTCATATATTTTCCATTACTCGTTAAGCAACGTATTTAACGATGATACGAAGAGTTTTGTTTAACTTCCTTCTCGAAATCTTGTTTATTCATTATCCACTTCATTTTCAATTTGTGCAAAATTTGCTTACCATTATTTTCTAACCCTCCCACTTAGAAACAGACTCACGGAATATTTTCCACCTATATAAATATACAACCCTATACAAACACTCGTAACATTTCTCATTCACAATTATATTCACACTCGCGTAACCTTTCTTTACACCCGTCGTTTACGCGCAAAAATCTTGAGCGCGTCTCACGTAGTGGTTGATCATCGGCACGAGAGAGAGAGAGAGAGAGAAAAAAGTTGGATACTTCTGTGAAGATTCTAACAACGATCGGCAGGGATTTGTTGAACATTACTGTTTACTTTGTAACGAGTGGGGAACACGAGGATCTCCGTTAGACAGCGAGCCGGTTGAATCGCGGAAGCTCGCGATAACACAATGGCACGCAGTGTCACCGGACCGAGGAACTGCAAACAAGTTAGATGCTTCCGGGAAGGGGTTGCTATTGCACGAATAGAATATAATCACAGGCAGAGATGATCGCGGGTGGCCAACTCTCTCGAATTGTGCGGCACGTTCGCGTAACATGTGCGATCGAATTGTAAATTACAAGCGAAGGTATTTCAATTGGAAAGATCCGTTCGTTGTTGCGCGACAAATTCTCGCCACGAGGAAACGGGAGGACGGGACAGCTCTGCGTTATCGACCGAGCTCCAGATCTCTCTCCAACGTATCGATTAACTGTGCGGGACTATGTTCCAAAAACATAGTAAGAGAAACGAACGAGATAAGATAAGATAAGATAAGAGTGGCGAACAGGCGACGATTAAAAACTAAACGATACGTCCTTTTTTCAACACCTCGTGCTTGAAAATATTCGCTCTCCTTACCCTCAGCCGCGAAAATCGCCTCGAGACATCGTGTAATCGATTCTCGCGTACCCAGTCATACGTACAACGTTCGCAGCCACAGATTATTACGGCGATCGGTGTGGTCGCCTGGAAGACGAGAGAGAGAGAGAGAGAGAGTCGAGCAAGGAGAGACACACAGCTCGACGAAGGTGGTTGCTGGCTTATCAGATGGCTGGAAGCGCGCGATATACGCCGGTTGCAAATTCAAGACACGAGGTGCACGAGATATTACGTTAGCCACGGTGTAGAATCGCGACATTTTGTCTTCTTCTCCTCCTCCCTCGATGCACGAGCGGCTCGCTTTCGTGTACCGCGCGATTTTTCAACCCGCCTCCAGCCTCTCTCTCTCTCTTCTTGTCTCTTCCTTTTCTTCTTCTTCTTCTTCTTCTTGTTGCGGCGATCCATGCAAATGGAGAGCGGCCAGGAATAGAGAGAGAGGAGGGGGGAGGGCCGGCGCGGAGGCAACGTGGGCAGAAAGAAAAAGAAGAAAGAACGGAACGGGGAGGAAGAGGCGGTCGGGGATGCGGCGCTCAAGGACACGATCTACCGCAACACCGCGCGCCGTGACAAGGATGGTGGGCAAGGGGGCGGACAAGGAGGCGGAATGCGGCGAGGAACGCGAGAAGAAGAAGAGTTGGCGGAGGATATACACGCAGAGGAGGGATCCCTCGGTTACACGAAACCCCTTGTTCCTCCCGTGGATTTCTTTTCAATTCGCAATTCCACCGCGCCGAGAGATTCGAAACTAATGATTCCCGATCAGGAGAATCGATGCTGGTGGAAACCGGCCGCCAATCTTTCTTCCTTCCTTTCTTTCTTCCTCGTCCTTCGCTGCGTGGGCGGAACGATTTAAGGGGAGGGGGACAGTTGGGAGAAATTTCCGTCTCAATTTGCCGGCCTCGTCGAAACTCGTTACTCGCGGCTTGGAAGGGATTTTTGTTCCCCTTATCACGGGGTGAGAATAATTTCGATTCGAATTTTTAAAGCGATTGAAATATGGAGAAACGTTGTAATTGGTGGTGATGAGGATTGAATGGATATTAGCAGAACGTAGGAGGCAAGTTTGAAGGGAAATTTGTAAAATGATTCGAAACATGTTGGAAGAATTTTTGATTTGCTCGAGTTCGATTTTAACCCGTGATTCGTTGTTAAACGATCTTGGAACGCGAATTATTCGATACAAGGAAGCGTGGAACGAGCGGTAATCAATTAGTCAAGCTCGAGAGATTTAGATACACGGATGGTTACAGTCTCAGAATCCAGTTCCTGCCCAGAGGATTTCGCCTTTCTAAACCGGTCGATCTTAACTTTTCCGCGATAATGCGCCGCCTCGTTTATTAACTCGGATAATTATCAGAAAATAATAACTTTTTCTTCCTCCTCTTCTTCCTCTTCCTATTCTTCGGATACCTCTTTTTTCATTAATCGATGGACGGAATGATTATGACGTGGCATCCCTTCGTCGATCCTCCTTCCTTTCGCTACTCGACATCGAGTATCTTTCTCTGGAATTCTTATCAATTCCAATTTTTTCTTTTTGTTCAATAAACACCGAATCGAAGCAAGTGGAATCGTAAACGATCCTCTGACGATCTCTTTTCTCGAGCATCTTTGACCGCTCGCTCGATTTCCCCGGCTTTCAGGATCATCCTGAAGGAAACCGCACGAGTATTGGAAGGAAAGTTGTATATAAAAGGGGGTCCGTTTCACGGTCGTTGAAAAAGGGGGTCAGTTGCTACTTTCACCGCGCTTACGAGACTTGCGAGATAATCGTTTATGCAACTCGAAAGCCGCAGAAATGTCGGCACGCGATCCTCTTTCCACGATTCCTTCCCCCTTTGATTCAACATTTTCCAAGTGGAAAAAAGAAACGCGCGGATTACCTGGCAAAATTCCAGTCGAGCAAATCATCGAGAGAAAGAATTACAACGACGTTAAGGCTCTCCTGTTATTTTTCTCTGATTACGTTTCGAGAGTGACGTAATTTTTCACAAATTCTTCCAAGCTGTTTCGAATCATTTTACAAACTTTCCTTCAAACTTGCCTCACCACGAATCATTCGTGAAAGTTTGATAAAACTGAATAGCACAATTTTTTTGATCCATCCACAAAAGGAAGATTCGTGCATAATCCGATCGAATTGTACGCTTCCTCCAATTTCGTTCGAAGGAACATAGGCGAAGAGGTAAGCACGAGTCAACGACTTTCCAACCGCGGGATTGGTTTCCAATGTCAGGAAAAATCGCGTGCTACGTATTCATTACCACGGAGGAGGGGATCGAAACGAGAAAACGGTTTGTAATACCCGATATCAACCGCGGAATTGCAGAGGAGCTGAGAGAGAGAGAGAGAGGAGGGATCAGCTGGCAAGACCGGCGTGACCGGCCCCGCGCGAGAAAAACCGTCCAAGATAAAGTTCTTCTCTTTTTTGGCGGCTAAACCTTTTTCCCCTTCATTCTTTCCTCGATTACCCGCTACCGATTCCACTTTCTGTACGCAGAATTTAATGGCCCGTGGAAAGGATAAGGATCTAAGTTTATGAGACGAGTAAGGAAATCGAGATTAATTCCTGGATGAAGTTTTGTGCAGGATATCCTCCAAAGAAAAATTCTTCTATTCTTCGAATTAAATTTTTTTCCACGAATGCTCGCTTCCACGAGCGATTCTAAATCGTGGCTTAATGATCAATAATATCTCGTCGGATATACCTCTCCGCCATTGCAGAACTGTGCGGTATTGCGGTTTCTCGCGGGATTATATTAGCCGTATCTGCGAAATGGGAATAAAATTGCGCCGGGCGCCACAATCTAAGATTAGAATCACTTCCATTACTATTCTCGTTGCTCGTTTCTCGTGTGATAAGTGCATGCATAACCGCGACCGAGCGCTGCTGGATACCTTGTATCGTTCGTAGAATAACATCGAACGGATGGGTTGGGAAAGTGATCGTGGTGTAATACAACGATTTTTAATCTCCTTGAAAAATATATTTTCATTTTTTGCAAATAAGAAAGGAATGGTGCTCGAAATTATTTGTGTTATATACGTGCGATAATTATTCATTGCTCTTCTCTGATCTCTCTGACGATGGAAAGTACGAATTGATATATAATTTTCTCCGATCGACAGTAAAAAGTGAAATGCACTCGGAATGCACACGAAACGACAAAGTGTTAGTGTCAGTAAAAATGAATTCCAAGTTTTAAAATCATTATTACTCGTTCGTTGTTGTTGCGCCAGAGAACTGCGGAGCGGTGCTTGCACGGCTGCATGCCTTGTAATCAATTCGCAGGCGCGCTCCTCCGCCTGTGATCCTCTCTCACCGTTCGCTCTCATATCCGTTTCCATGTTCGTGCTCCAACTAAGCCGAATTAAAAGGCAGTCCTTTTGTTAATTAAACAACTCTTCAAATTGTCGCTTTGGATTGGATAATCTCTTGCAGTTTCCTGAGATCTTTGCCCCTCGAAATACAATCAATCAATTTTTGTTAATAATTGTTCGAAGATAATTATTCTTCTTAACGCATTTTAACGCGGTCGAGCGTTTGCCCGTCTAATAATAGACTCGGGAAGGATTGAATCGTTCGAAGGAGTGACGAGAACAAGGAAAGTTCTGTTTCGCCTCGAGGAGAAGGAACGGATCGGGAGGTTATCGATTCCATTATCGCGTGTGTGCGTCACGATCGACACGATGTTACCGGTTTGCACACGTCACTGTCAACCACTGTTTCCATCGTTTCCACGGTGTTTCTCTGACGCGCGAGCGAGCGGACGTGACGTACCTACTTTGCGAACTTTGAATCCGTTAGAACGGTACACCGGCAAAACGTTTACAAGATTTACACGCGTTTCCTCTTGCTTTACTCTGCGGCGAGAATAAGTCGTTACGTGTCCTTAACCGTTCGAAGGTAGCGATGGGCTCGAACGGCAAGCGAGCGAATTCTTGAACTTTTCCCCACCGAAAATGGAGATGGCGCATACCCATCTTTATCTATCCTTATTCTATATCTTTCAAGCATGGAAATAATCGTGATTATATTCACACTTTTCCTTACTTTTCGAAATCAATTATATTACATCGCACAATTATTGAACTTACTATGCGTTTTTGAATCGCAATTAATACTTCCTTTTCGGTGAATCCGAATTGAGAGCCACCTCTGAAGGAAGTAACGGTGCATCAGGCGGAAATAAAGAAGATACGAAATCAATCGACGATGGACTGTTGCGCAATCCCAGAAGAATTTTTCGAATCGCTCGTTTTTTCGTAGAAACTTTTACCGTTACTCTCTATCATCCATCCTCTCGAAAAAAGAGGAAAATGCTCTCCTCGAGCCGGCCTTTCCCCCTCGTTTCACCTTTTTCTCTCCTTTTTGTTTTCGATCGTCTCGCGGGATCGTTATCATTAACTGTCGTTACGCAGATGGTCAACCGTTACTTTTAACGATAAGGAAAAACGACTCTGAAACGAGTTTCAAACGGAGGGGGGATTTTTTTGACGAACAGAGATTTTGCATGTTCGATTGCGAGAACGTGTTTAAAATGTTGGAATAATTGTGTAGAGGATATGTAGTAATTACGACGTTGCGACGATCGTTAAATTTCACGAGTTCCTACGAACTTGTTAATTCCTTTTTTCCCCTTCAAATTTATATTTATATATATATACATACATATAATACGTGAACACGAATTTTCGAAGGATTATTATACCGCATACTGTGAGATTTTGGTTTGAACGTTTGAAATGAGTAGAAAAAAAGAAAATTAATTATCGATAATTTTTATCGATATCCGCATAAAAATTCTGAATCTCGTCTAAAATATCATCCAGCCTTTTTCCTTCGTTCGTTCCACGGGAAGGAAAAGGAGAGAGAGAGAGAAAAAAAAAAAAATGACGAAGGAGAAATTCAACCGCGGGTTAA